TGTGTGTGTGTGTGTGTGTGTGTGTCTGTGTGTGTGTTTTTTTGTTTGTTTTGTTTCAGTTTTAGTTTTAGTTAACCATAATAACCCTGCTTGGCAGCTAACTAAAATAAGTTTATGTTGAAGTACTGAAGTTACTAACTGGAAATAAATAAAAACTAAAAAAATAATAATAATAATAAAATGAAATAAAAATGAATTAAACCAAACTAGTAACATAAAAAACGAATAAAATTAAATTACTTAAAATTAAATGGAATGATTAAAAATGGAAAAAAATTAATTCTAAATATTAATATTAAAATGCAAAATATAAAAAAACAATGAAATAAAATCTTAATGAAAATATGAAAAATATAATAGTAAAAAAAAAATAATGCTAAAATAACACAGATTCTACATTAGTTGAGACAAAACTAACAAAACGTTTTTGGTCCACGGTAGTACCATGATATTCTTTGAAATACTTTGGAATACCATGGTATTATCATCTGACACCATCTGTCTACCATGGTAACTTCACAGTATTTTTTGTCAGGGTACATATGCTATATTCAGAAAGGAAATCATAATTCAGCTGAAACAGTTTAGCAACTGCCAATTAACTACTTCTGTGTGTTTGTCCTCTAGAAGAAAGTCATCCGAGTTTGGAACGACAAACATTTTCCAAAACTACTCCTTTAGCTGTCGTGGTTTGTGGCTTTCATGACAGGAATTCCAGACTTGGACAGGAAAGATTTCCTCTGTCTGTCAGATATAATGGCTGTCAGTCACATGCAAGAAACTTCCTATTAGTCAGTGCCGGAGCGGGGAGGGTCTGAGCGTTGAGACATTTTCCACTTTGGAATTACACCTGCAACCATTTTCAGCAAAAACAGTAACACCACAAAGCAAGCATGTGAACCTTACCTCCAGTTCGGTCTCCCATCTGTTGATGTTATCTGTCGACTGATTCAGTTTCTCCAGTTCACCCTGTTGAAGAGATAAAGTGAGGCAGAAGGAGTTAAGATCGCAGTCTCTTGCAATACAAGCAGGCCGACAGCATCTGGGAAGTGTTATTCAAGTAACCCAGCACTGAGATTAAGCTCATATGTATGCTTTTCCTGCAAAGTTAGCTACACGCTGATGACACACATATGTTGTTTTCATTACAAGATAATGTGTTTATTATCTTTCATGGGTGGAGGATGAAAAACCAGTTCATCTAGCACAACTAGCACACACAGTCCAACACAGAAAGGTTCTTCACTTTCAAGAGAAATGCATCATTTAAAGGGATAGTTCACCCAAAAATGAAAATTACCCCATGATTTACTCACCTTCAAGCCATCCAAGGTGTATATGACTTTCTTCTTTCAGACGAATACAATCGGAGTTATATTAAAAAACATCCTGGCTCTTCCAAGCTTTATAATGGGAGTGGATGGTAGCCCAAAATTTGAAGTCCAAGAAATTGAACCAATCCATTATAAAAGAAGTCCACACGGCTCCGGGGGGTTAATAAAGGCCTCCCGAAGCGATGTGTTTGTGTAAGAAAAATATCCATATTTACAACTTTATAAACCTTAATCTCTAGTTTCCGCTAACTGTCGTTACGCGCGTTCACGAGAGAGTGGCGTCCAGCAGATGACGTAGCACGTAAGCAAACACGGTGACGAACGTGGAAGTGCAGAGGAGAGAGCAAAACAAAACACTGGTCATGAATTAGTAGTACAAAACGAGGATTTGTAAAGAATGTCGGAGGATTTCGATATAAGCCAAGAGGAGACTGGTTTTCCTTTGCTGTAAACAAAACTTGTTTCT